GTTTTATATGCGGCTGGTGTAAACAAACCACAAATCACAGCGCAATCATGTCTATTTTGGCCCAAAGAGTATTAAATTGGGGCCCGCCGTGTGTTTATGTTACACAAGTTTGACCATTTACGGTTTGACGCCCCCAACGATGCCCGTTCGTATTCTGAATATATGTTTGTGTGTTGAATATGGGTAAACTGGCGTATGTATATGTACATGTATTTAATGGCATTCAATACATTGTGTGCTTTTTGACCTCTGAAGGAGTCAAGATCGGAGTTACACTCTGTTAACGTGTGTTCAATAACACGGGAGTGTGGACACGCAGATAGGGTCGAATCTTTGTTGCCCTATATTTTGGTGATGAAACCAAATTTCTAACTAACAAAGAACGGCAAAGACAAGCTACACTGAGTGAGAGAAATACATCATAAAGGAAATGAATTGGGACAACGACCTTGTTTCAGGCAAATAACATGCACTCCTAACAATAAGTGGTGAAAATATTAAAATACACAGTAACTATCATTATGTACTTGCTACAGTATCATTTGACTCCTTTTGGCACCTTAATTAGTTCACATGAAGAAGCAGGGGGAAAATTATAACAATCGATGAATATTGTTTAATTGCTACCAGCATTCATAAGTATTTATACATACTTGAATAAGGATTCGAATATTTATGTATGATCCACAATTAAATATACAGCTCACTTGTTACACAATGAGTTTAACAATATAAAAAGGTTATTAGGTAAATTAACTTACGAAATGAAAGCATGGAAAAACACAGTGACAATCACTGAATACTGCATGGTGGCTACCAACATTCATAAAGATTTATAAAAATATGAATTAGAAATGGAGTATCAATGTATGATCCGCAATTAAATATGCTATTGATAATGCAGTTCATCACTTATTATATAATTAGTTTAACATGTAAATAGGTTAATAAACAGGGTTGTCCAAAACGAATCGAATATTCGAATGTATTCGAATATCAAAGTATTCGAATACCTTTTCGGCTGATTTTCGAATAATTTCGAATAGTAGCCACTTTTCGCCGTAAACGTGGTGTTTCGTTTTACGGGAATCGAATCTTCAAACGGATTTTTACGCTGTCTCGCGTATTGTAATGACGATGAATTAGAATCGGCACTTTGATTGTATATATTCTGTGCGACCGTACGTCGCATAGTGTTGCGACACATTTGCACGTTTGCGTGGGTGGACATTGCCGACATTCGTCTACAAGGCTTCTAATTTACAAATTCATTTCCATTACGTCGAAAAATTGACATTTACTGTATTTCCCACACAGCTGTGAAATAACCCGTGGACGTACAGTGTATTTATTACTTATCACATTCCAAAATTATTTCAACATTCTGGTTAATATAGGTTGTACAAAATGATTGCCGCTTTACAACTTAAATTTACCGCTCAATTGTTGAAAATAGTTAATTCTGTGAGTATGATATTACCAAACTAACATGATCTGGTTCTAAACATTTAAAATTATTAGCGCATAATATCAGCATAACTGAACAACAGGGACACAATTTTTCTACCCGTCTTTTTGGAGGCCTTTATGGAAAAAACCCTTTTTGGAGTGCTAAAAATAGACATCGTCCTATTTGCCATGTGGACTTATTAACCGGGAAATACGGTATTTATAGCAGTCATTGTTACGATATCCAATAAATTGTCACAAGTTGGAAAAACAAGTCGATTTATTAGAAAATAATTTCTGGCAAATAATTCTGATAACGATACTTAAAAGTATCGATCATTTACCAGGATGATTTTTTGTTGCGCAAAATAATCCAATCCATGACTGGTACCAGCATTTAAAATGTCATGCCGTATTAATTTAATTCTGTTCAACGTAACTCATGGTTGTATCGACAATCTGTGGACATAAAATGTGTGGTAAACTGACCGATTTTATTAAATATTGATTCCTATTTTTATATTGATAAAATAATGAAAGTATTAATACCAAATACTACGGGTATTTGTGGACATGAAATACGTGGTAAACTGCCCAACTATAATTTCGGATTCGTATTTACAAAATATTTAAACTATTATAATTCTAAAATGCAACGGCGATCTGTGACCTTAAAATTTGTGTTAAACTGCTCGATTTACCAACATTTGAGTTATGATAATAGAAATAAATTAACACGTATAGTGGTATGGATTCGAATATTTTGCGCAGCACAAAATCATCCTAGTAAAAAGTCCATACTTTTAAATACAAACCAATGGCAACCATTATCCAAATTAGTTCCCAAGAACGGGATAAAATATAAATTCTTTTTCCGACTTGTGACAATTTTTCGTGAGTACGAACATGAGAATCAAAAACTAATTATATTCGGCATAATATCACGGCAATCTGTGGACATAAATTGTGTAGCAAACTCGCGATTAATATTAATTTTTGATTCCTATTTTCGTATTTCCAAAATACAACGGCGATCTGTGGACTTAGAATGTGTTGTAAACTACCCGATTATAAATAGTTTTTGATTCATATTTTAATATTTATAAAATTATGAAAGTAACTTTACTCAAACATACAACGGCGATCTTCGGACTTAAAATGTGTGGTAAAGTTCCCGAATATAATTAATTTTTGATTCGTATTTTTGTACTCACGAAAAAATTGTCACAAGTCGGAAAAATAACTAATACTTTATCCCGCTTTTTGGAAAATAATTTGGATAATGGTTGGTATTTAAAAATATGGGCGTTTTACTAGGATGATTTTGTGTTGCGCAAATATTCAAATCCATCATCGATACCACTATTGCCGTATTAATTTAATTCTGTTAACATGACTCATGGTATATAAAATATATACTGCAATAATCTGCAAATATGAAATTCCTGGTAATATAGCTAGGTTGTAACTTGTAGATAGCAGTTATTCCATTGCTTATTGTATGGAAATTCCTACATACATTTAGATAAGCTTCAATTAATGGATTTTATTTTCGAAGTATTCGAAATTTCATATTCGAAAAAAATAATTTCGAATGTATTCGAAATAGTGAACTATTCGGTTTTGGCCATCCCTGTTAATAAATTAATTTACAAAGAGGCTAACAACATTCACAAGTATTCATACCAGGGGTACTTGAAATAGAACTAAAATATTAATGTATGGCCCACAAGTATATATGCAGTTCATTTGTTACAAGATGAATTTTAACAATATAAAAAGGTTATTATGTAAATTAATTTACGAAATGAAAGCATAGAAAAAACACAGTGACAATCACTGAATACTGTATAGTGGCTACCAACATTCATAACGATTTATAAATACTCGAATTAGAAATGGAGCATCAATGTATGATCCACAACTAAATGTATATTTCATCACTTCTTATACAGTGAATTTTAACAATATGAAAAGGATATTAACTTAATTTACGAGATGGAAGCTTGGAAAACACAGTGACAATCACCAACATTCATAAAGATTCATAAATACTTGAAATAGAAATGGAATATTAATGCATGATCCACAGTTAAGTAGGCTATGCCCAATTGGATATGCAATTAATATGCAGTTCATCATTTATTACACAATAACTTTTAGCAGCATAAAACGGTAATTATAGTATATTAAACAGAAGTATACGGATCAGGGTACTTGGATAACAAGAATTTTTCATATTTTTATTGAAGGTATATGCTGATTGCTGAACAATTCCTGATGTCAGGTGGTACAATGCCCCAGACCTGGGGCCCCATTCACAAAGCTTCGTTACCGCTTAACGTGTTAGTTAAGCACCGACTTTCTCGTGAAAAGCAAAAATGGTATTCACAGAGCTTCGTAAATATTCGAGAGAAATTATTCGAGAGAGTTTTTTTGGCGCCAAATGAGACGTCTCGTAAAGTGCCTTCTTCTCACATTTTATCGAGAATCGGTATTCACGGAAGTTCTTTAACCGCTGAAGAGCTCGCTAGCTAACGAGAACAATCTTCGCCTCGTTAACAGTTCGGATTGCTCTCAGCAGTGATTCAAATTAAAATAGGCTCGTTGGGACGTTAGCATACTTTGTAAAAATTGGCATAGTATCAAGGGGCCTTACTCAGGTAAGCGTGTATGTAGTCTAGTGCCGTTAACTTAGCTGTGGAATATCTGCCGCATTTACAGATTAAACTAGGGTTGAGATTCAGAGATTGTTCAGTTGTTGAAGTCATTGTTTTTTGTTTATTCTAGCACTGGCCTACAGTATTATGAACACAGATTCACAAATGGCTACCTATATTGAAGCTTGCAGAAGAAAAGTCCAACAATCTCTCTATGTCGTATCCGAAAGAAAAAAATTAGCTAGATGCAAATGAAAGGACCTTAATAGAGGACTATAGACTCAATGAAAAATTAAAAATATGGAATCTTAACAAGCTTTGGCAACTCACTGATTTTATTGTCTGTTACACAAATAGTTCACAATATGTAATTTGTTTTGTGGCAATAAATCTCTCTCTGTGTAACTTCAGCATTTATTCCATGTAGCCTATCCGTCAGTCTATAGATTACCCCACTGCTATATGAACAAAATTTCAAAACGCAGGCTGCAAAGGTGAAGCAGAGAAAGCCGATAGGTTACCGCGAAGGCGAAAGACGCTCGACCGTAAGCGGCGACAACTGATACGGCTGAGTGATCAGTCAGTGCATTTTGTTCAACTGCGACCGTGCGTAAGATTTCGAGAGAATGCTAGTGACCGTGCGTCAAGTGCTTACGAGGTCTTTGGTGAATCGCATTTAACGAGATTTCGCTATCACGATTCTGAGAGACACAGTTACGAGATCGTAAACCCGGCTTTTTACGAAGTTTAGCGAATGGCGCCCCTGGCTTGACCAAGTCTAAACGTGATCGTAGAGATCGCTTCATTAATAACATGGCTGGTGACTCGTTCGTTGTCGAATGAGGTGTATTTCTGTACGCTAGTAGGAAATTATCCAGTTTGTGTAAAATATCACCCCTTCCTTCCTCGGAGAAGAGAACTCTTGAAAATTCCGACAAATCTTTCTGCCATACCATTACTCGACGGATGAAATGGTGCAGATCGTGAATGACGTATTCCATTATTCTTCATAAAATTTGCAAACTCTTCCGACGTGAAAGTAGGTCCATTGTCAGACACAAGTTGTTTGCATATACCATATCTTGCAAATATGTGTCGGAGTTCTTCGATAGTTCTTTGCGATGTGATAGAACGCATAGGAATTACTTCTGCCCATTTTGAATACGCGTCAATTACAACTAAAAACATCATATCCATGAACGGTCCTGCAAAATCAACATGAATTCGTTCCCACGCATTTGAGGGAAATTCCCACATATGTAGTTCAGCATTTGCAGGCATTTTTCGCGTTTCCTGGCAAGAAGCGCATTCTTTCACTCTATTTTCAATTGAGTTAGTAAGTTGTGGCCACCGGACATATGATCGAGCCAATGCTTTCATTTTGACTATGCCTGGATGTGACTCATGTAGTTCTTCTAAAATTCTTGAACGTAATTTAGGTGGAATCACAACTCTGTTTCCCCACAATAAACATCCTTCATGAACACTGAGTTCATGTCTTCTATTGAAATATGGTTGTAGTTCATCATTTTTGATTTTGTTTGGCCAACCTTTCAGGACCAAATCTACTTTAGACAATATTGGCTCATTAGTGGTTGCTTTTCTTATTTCCGTACTTGTGACGGGCAATACTTCAAAAATGCAACGTAAAGAATATTTTTCATCATCTGTATGTGAACTTTCAGACAATGGAAATCTTGATAAAAAATCTGCGTTACCATGATTTTCAGTTTTACGATATTCGATGTCATATTGGTGTGATGCTAGAAACATTGCGTAACGCTGTAAACGAGCAGCTGTCATTTTTGGAATTGATTTATCTGGGCGGAAAATGGATGTTAGTGGTTGATGGTCTGTAACCAGTGTAAACCGTCTACCATATAAATATAGGTAAAACTTTTTCACACCCCATACTATGGACAGAGCTTCTTTTTCAATTTGTGAACAATTCATTTCTGCTTTTGTTAATGTTCGAGACGCAAAAGCAATGGGTCTCTCTGATCCATCTTTCATTACATTTGATAATACGCAACCAATACCATATTGACTGGCATCACAACTCAATTTCACTGGTTTCTTAGGATCATAATGTTAACTTGATCAGATGCAATCAATTGTTTCGCTTTAAATAAACTTTGTTCACACGACTTTGACCATACGAACTTTTGACCCTTTTTCAATAGACAATAAATTGGCTGTAGCACACTTGCTAGCTCTTTGCAAAATTTAGCATAAAAATTAATCATACCAGTGAATGCTCGGACTTGAGAAACATTTTCAGGACGCGGTGCATCCACAATTGCTTCGACAAGTTTCTCTGTCATATGTTGTCCGTTACAATCAATATCATGGCCAAAGAAAGTAATACGATCTTTCATAAATTCGCATTTTGTTAAATTCAGTCTCACCCCATATTCTTTTAATCTCTTTAAGACGTTTTCCACATTCTTGAGGTGATCTTCATCATTTGATCCAGTGATGATCATGTCATCTAATATACATCTAATATACTTTAGGCAATCCTTGCAAAATTTGTTCCAGAACCCGTTGCCAGATAGCTGGAGCTGATGCAATTCCATAAACCATTCTATTTACACGATACAGTCCTCTGTGTGTATTCAATGTGAGTAGATGTTTGCAGTCTTCATCGACTTCTAATTGCAAATAAGCATTTTTCAAATCCAATTTTGTGAACTTTTGTCCACCAGCTAAGATTTCAAACAGTTCTTCAACTCTTCGGAATGGGTATTGATCAATCTTCAAAGCTGGATTAACAGTTACTTTGAAATCACCACAGAGACGTATTTGACCATTTGGTTTTGTTACAGCTACAATAGGTGTTCCCCAATCACTATGTGGTACTTTGGTAATTATTCCTTCTTTTTCGAGACGATTCAACTCTTCTTCAATTCTTGGTCTCATGGCGAAGGTTACTTGACGTGCCTTCCTGAACACCGGGGATGCATTTTCATTTAATACAAATTTAGCTTTATGGCCCTTGACAGTACCAAGTTCATCTTTAAATAAATCTTCATAATTTTTCAGTAAGGTATCCAGTTTCTTTTTTATATCAATTGGACTTTCATTTGGATTCAGGCTATTCACATTGTCACATACAATTTCAATTTTGCAGCTTCATTTCCACATTGAACTTCAACTGGTAACAGCCCAGGTGGTTTTAATGGCTCACCCGTGTACGTTTTCATTTTTATAGCAGTAGGTGTGGGCTTCTCATTTTTAAAATGCTTTTGATAATCTTTATTCGATATTATCGATACGGCTGCCCCCGTATCCATTTCCATTTGTATTACTCTTCCTGCTACTTTGACAGGTATCCATATGATATCAGTGGCATGAACGGACACTTTTTCATTTACTTTTGCCACTTGTATATTTGATAGAAATTTCGATGCCACTTTATCTGCAGCGACGCTTTTCTCTGCTTCTCTAGTGCAGTTTTGATGACGCCCAGGTCGTGGCTGGGAGTTTCGTTTGTGGTGTGGTTTAGATCTACACACAAATTTGGTGTGACCTCTTTTATTACAATTAAGACAATATTTCTCTTTAAACCAGCATTTATCTGGATGGTGTCCACGCTTTACGTAATGAGCATTTTCACTTTCATAATTTGCAGTATTTTTGCCTTGAATCACTTTTGTATCTTTTGCAGCAGTTTCAACTTCTACAGCAATTTGCAACGCTTTTTCATGTGTTAAATTTTTTTCAGTTATCAATTGATTTTGTGAGTGGCTGCATTTCAGTCCACTTACGAATTTGTCGCGAAGTGTGTTTCCCAACTCAGCACCGAACTCACATGTGGTGGAGAGGCGCTTTAAATCTGCGTAAAAAGCTGACACACTTTCTCCGTGTTTTTGACTTCGTTGATGGAAGCGAAATCTTTCTGTTTGAACCAGTGGTTCCGGCGACAAATGATCTTTTAACACTCTACAGAGTTCTGCGAATGTTTTCGTGGCAGGTTTTTCCGGGGCGACCAAGTCACGTACAAGCATGAAGGTTTTACGCCCAATGACGCTAAGGAAAACGCTGACCTTTTTTCCATCTGCAATTTCGTTAGCAATCATGAATTGCTCCAGTCTTTCAACATACGTAGGCCAGTCTTTCTGATCTTCTATAAATTCTCCGATTGAGGAGAGCCAATTGCCAACGCCATTTCACAGATTTACAATAGTGATAACTGAATACTTGATAGCTGACTGACGACTTAATTTCAATTGATGCCGTTATTCTCAATTCCCGAAGCTTGATTTTTCTGCTGAGTGATCGAGCGAGTATTCCTGCCTCTCTTTAGATTGCGTTGATTCGTTTTAACATGTATTCGTCCTATAGGCAATAATATCCCATCCTCGTCGCCAGTGTGATGTCTTGTGTATTACCAAATCACCAGTAGACAGAAATATTACTGTTTATTATACGGCAAAGTAAGACGTCAGTATATCGCAGTTTAACGCTAGACAGTTCAAAACACAAGAATCAATAATAAGCACGCAGACAGGTAAAGCAAGAAGCAATTACGAGAAAACAATTATGACATCATAATCACAAATCTAGTCTGTGTTAAAAACAACAAGCTATGACGTAAATACACAACAGTCACCATCTTTGAGTTTTCAGTGAAAACAAGACCAAAAACAATTATTCTACGAGATGAAAATACATTATGAGTAAGAGAATCCGAATCCCCTGCATCTCCAACAACTAATTCAGTATACCACACAAATATAGTTGTCAGTTATCAATATCAATTCACAATCTATAAGATACAATTGGGAAAATGGAAAATTATGCCATATTGTGTGAGGTCCTTACGTTTCGACAACAGTTTGATGACATCTCCATCTGATATTCATTAATTCTGCAATTGTAGGCCAAAAGGTTTCACAAAGATGGAAGTGTGCCATCGAAAAAATTACAACCAAGCATTGAGTCTGGAAGATATGTTTGACTGTTATCATCAGGCGGCTTGTATTGATAGCCTTTACCATAACCAAGTTCTTTCATTAACTTTGTTGATGCATTCCTAAGATGGAGTGGAACCTGAATGACAATAAATTAGAATAAGTGCAAATACAAATACTCAGCAGAAAGATCAGACCCATAAATACCTTGTATTTTGTATACCTTGTAATTTTGAAAAAAACTTGACATAGCAAACAGGTATAATTATAGGTGGAAAACAGAAAGCCTTGTGCTGAAACTAAATTTAATCTCAAGAAATTCCTTGAGCTACTTTTTAGCTAAATCATGGTTTTACTTTGGTTGTGGCATCGTCAAGTGGGCCAGATTGAATTACCCAACAGGCCGGATTTGGTCTGCGGGCTGTAGTTTGACCATGTCAGCTCACCACTCGTCTTTTAGTAGTTTTAATATTTTGTTCATGGACCATTGAGTAGTATAAAGAAAAATAAAATAAATGATAGCTTACCCCAGGTAAAGGACCTTCATGGTATTTAATTTTTTCTTTTGCTCTGTTATAGGCCATATAAACTTCCACAGACTTTGGTGCCCTTGCCATGTACACAGCACAATGTGCTAACACAACCTGAACATATTTTGGAGCATTTTGATTTGCAAATTAATGAAATATTTTGAAACCAAGTTTGATAACTCACATCACATTCTGGCATCCCTATGAATTGGCATGCTTGTTGAGCAGATATAGCCAGATTTAACGCAGTAGAATCTCCAAGACCTGAATTGAAAAATATTAAAATTATGATTTGGTATGGTTATCAAGAATAGTAGTAATAGTATTTATTCTGGAGGAAAGAGTTTCTTAATCTTCTAACGAAGCATGGCCTTTTCCTTGGTTACTAGTTCAGATCAATTATGATAAATGCAATTGTTCCAAATAGACTTGTAAAAGAAACGGTAGAGGAAACCATAACTGACCAGCCTTCATATGATTGAAACATCATTGTTTATCATTATGTCGAAGGATAAACAAAAAACATCTAAGGTTGGAAAATTCAATGAAATGTGCGTAGATGTTCGCTGTCTTAAGATCTGTGAGGAGTTAGGTACAATCGATCAAATAAATGCACTTTGATATACAAAATGCTGAGGAACTCCACTCACCAATATCCTCACTAGCAATTCGTATTAAACGTCTTGCAATAAACTTAGGATCTTCTCCACCTTCAAGCATTCTTGCTAGCCAATATAAAGTTGCATTATCATCAGATCCTCGTATTGATTTTTGAAAAGCGGATATCATTTCATAATGTTGATCCCCTTGAATGAAATCAGAAAAAGAAAGATTAGCAAAATGATGGAGTGTAGAATCATACACACTTGTGCGATCGCTGTTTTCAAACTATCTGTTTAGGAGTAATCGTATCTGTATGGAGTGGATGAACTGAACATGTACAGAAATTCATACATCCAAAACTTCAGCAGCTCCATATGGAGTCACTGATTATTTATTAGGGCTTATCAGATGAAAACTCTTAAATGGTAAAGTTTCATCATCCTGTTTGATCCAGACTTTTTCCAGTATTCTCAGTTTTTAGAAAAAAGTATATAGCCTACCACAGGAAATCGTCGATGTTCAATCAAGTATACACTGGGTCTCATGAATAAAATCTTTCACAATAGTACTTAACTTAGTTTCATTCAAATGTTCATAAAAATTGGAATACTGGGTTCGATTCCCATTTCAAGTAGCTGTTAACAATTTATGTTGCTTGCATTTAAAATCATGTGTGACCCTGATATCTCTCCACTCACTTAAAAATTCATACAACCGCAAAAATATAGCAAATACACAAATGATTCAATCAATTGGGAAACAGAAAAATTCAATTGAAATCATTGAGTTAACATCCCAAATACAATGAATGTACTGTCAACATAAAAATCTCAACTAACCTGTTCTATCATACGAAACGTGACTTCGATGCAAGCTCTTTTTAATCATTTCAATATCGATCTGGTAAGTGTTATTATTTTCATTGACAATAGCTGACCGAGCAGCTTGAATAGCCATTTGTAAACCACTCAATGCAGTTCTAGCATCCCCATCACATATACTGGCAAGAAACTTAATGACTTCCTCAGAAATTGTTATTTTTGATTCAGTGATATTCTCCTCAACAATTTCACAATCAGGAGAGGAAATAATCTCGCACGAGCTTGATTCTGCTTTCAGAGATGAACCCTCACCTGTTGTTATGACTCTCACATCTTTTTCAAACTTTCTCAAAGCTCTCATAAGTATAGTTTTTATTTCTTTTATGCTCAGTTTTTCCAATATTATGACTCGGCATCTGCTCAACAGTGCTGAGTTCAAAGAAAAAGATGGATTTTCTGTTGTCGCACCAATCAATACTATTGTACCATCTTCGACATGTGGTAAAAATGTATCTTGCTGCATTTTATTAAATCTATGGATCTCATCAATAAAAAGTACTGTCTTGCGCTTGAACATCTGTTGATCGTTTTTAGCTGTTTTCACCATTGCCTGGAAGAATACAAAATTACCTTTACAAATTTGAACATTAACAAATACATGTATTGCTTATACCAAGATGTTTTACAGTTGATCCAAACAGAGCTCTTTTTAAGCAGCTACCTGACCTAGGATGATCGAATTTTTCAATCCAGATGAAGTAGTAGCCTGGCGAGCCACTGAGATTTGATTCCAATTCATTCCAGCTACAGATAGGCAATGATATGAGCCATATGACATGGTTAAATTCAAACCCAGGCCATCCTTTTCTCTCATATTCAGTTTAATTTTTGTAAGTCCTATTGCACACTCAATTGAGAATGACAACGAAATAGTTGCAAATCAACCTGGTATAATGGCGAGACTAACATGAAAAGCATACACGATTAACTTATAGTAAATGTGGAGTATACTTACAGTCACATCTGCTTTTCCAGAATTGGTGGCTGACATTTTCACAAATCTTATGGAACTATTTGGTGTATTCTTTGCTTTCGTCGCGATGACATGAGCGAGAGATGTTTTTCCACATCCAGGTGGACCCCAAAGTATCATGGATGGGATAGTGTTGTTGCGTAGTAATTCATTTAGTACACATCCCTTTCCTAGCACTTTTTCTTGTCCTATATATTCATCTGTTGTTGAGGGTCTACTGCGTTCTGCAAGAGGAACACTATGCATATCACTGGGCTTCTTAGAGGTGCGCTTTGTCATAGGAGGATCATCGTGAAATATATGACTTCTTTTTGTTTTCTCATCTCCATTTTTAGCATTTATTGACCCATTGTTCATTGAGGACTTGGAATTCTGTTTAAAATTGAAAAAACTTTGGGTAGGCTTTGGCGAAGAAATTTTAGCTTTTTTAGCTGAAGGCATATCATCATCATTTGAATGACATCTAGGCTTCATAACACCTTTGCATCGTTGTGCATGTGCTTCAATAAAATCAGAAGAGAAATTCTGGAAGCAAATTGGACATTCAACACTGTGAGATGGCATTTTATTCCTAATTTTCTTTGCCGCCAGAGTTTTGAGTTTGAAATCGTTTTATTAAATTTTCCTCGAAGGCGGATTTTTTCCTTTCATGTAAAGACCCTTTAGGACTGTTCGAGTCAATCTCCTGAATTATTTTGGACTGCTTCGCATCACTCATTACATAAATGTAACTACCATAACAAAGAGTACTGACAACTGCCGTAATATATAAAAATCTAACATGGTGAGGATTCATTACTTGCCAATACCTGGTAGAGAGAGGGGAGGATATGTTTAACATTCCCAAACTCATTGCTAACAGCCATAAGTCATATAAAAAATATTGCTACCAAAGTACAAATTAAAACTAGGTAATTGAGATGTAATCATAAATGAAATGGACCTAAAGATCACACAGATGGTACAAGATCATGACCTTAAACCTAACAACTTTCCCATATAATAGGCCATTCATGCACATGCTTCAAAACATAAATTGTGAACAAAAATTTGAAACGATCAACGTTCCTATATAAATCGAGCATAAATATTGTACCAAATCAGTCATGTTAGGTTTTTTTACCCAACGATTATTTGTGCCTTTCTCTCTGAAAAACGCTGAGTATTCACTAATTTAATGCTATATAAGAAATTATCACCAAAGACTGGAATTTTCCTGGTTTGACATTGCCTATCCAATTTATTACACCCTGTGTCAGGCGGTGAGCCTTGCGATTTGAAGCCAGGATGATTAACCTACGATGACAACACAGTAAGCCCAACGCTTTTTGAAATTACGGTGCAATTCCTGTCCAAGACATGGATAAATATTCTATATGTCCACCTTCAGATTTTGAACATATTAGTAATGTCTTTTTAACTGAACTTGCGAGTCTTCCTAATGCTGAATATTCATTTCCAGACATTTTTTTATACCGTTGAACACAGAATGCGATATAAAATGAATGATATGAAACAGGATCGTCAGGATATACAAGAAAATGCCCTCCGAATTTATTCCCATTGGCCACAAAGAATCCCTGATCATGTAGATCACAGAACACATCAAACTGTAATGATTCATTGTCATTTAAATTAGATTTAACATCTTCAGATGTTGGTAAAAATGTTGTCAGTGTACTTTTCACATTCATTTTGACCCACATTTGGTCATCATTCAAAAGACTTGTTTTATTTAACTCTGATTGTTTGAATGTTTCGAAGTTTTCATCTTCAACCTTGTCAGATTGTGAGCTTAATTTAATCCGTTTCGCAATTTTTCCTTGTAATATTGAGCCTGACAATGCATCTAACTCTTCTGATTTCTGTTTTTGCAGCACCTGTATTTGTGCTTTTCTTTGTACCGAACGCTGTTGGTTCATTTCCACTCTCCTCTCATCCGAAAATAAGTCTTTAGGATAATGGTTTGAATTACGTAACACAGCGATGTTTCGACTAATCAAATAGGTTGCCTCAAATTTGCTCAGTTGTAATGGGATACTGTTTTGAACATTTTGTCTTGGTTTCCAAGGCAAACTTCCAATGCAAGTTCCAACAATCCGATATGTTTTGCGAAGTTCCAAGATATGGGATGCTTTCCATACCATAAAATTGTTTTCGCATTGATCAATCACAATTTGGTCACCTTTTTCCATAATCAAGCTCAAAATATTTGATTTGGTGTCGCCCCCAACAAATGAAGAAATGTGCTGCAACCTTCAGACCTGAAATTATTGATGGCTAATTCCTATTATCGAAGGACAGTCAGGTATTTGTAATCTAAAATGAGAGAAAACTATATGATGGTTATATATCAGTATTTACAGAGAAAAGAACAACCCGCTTGTGACTGAGAGTAGTTCACAATGGTGTTAGGCTTAAATTCCAATTAAATATATCATAGTGGTTCTTCGCCTTATTGGGTAATAAGTACATGGATACTTTTGCTAAATTCTTGTTGTTGTTTAGAGGTGATTGCCGTTATGGAAAAAAAATTGCTTTTCTCCGCAAAAAATAAGACTAAATGATTTTAAACATTTGAGTGCCTAAATACCGATTTATGGAAAAAATTGTTAAAAGGCTATCACACACATTTTATTCCATATTTCTCGGCCACTTCGCATTCACATATATTACTTGTCTGCCGATTTTTACAACAAACCCTTATCGTTGGATAGAGATAAATAGATAATATTTATAAATTTGCTTAGTTGGTAAATCATTCCGTACATATCGCTAGATAGCGATGTCAATTTCCATTTCTACTAAACTCTGATTTTAAGCCAAAATTTCCTTCCATGCCAATGGTAGTTTCCGCATTTCCAAATTTTTCATAAATGATATAATATAATAAAGTATAACTAAAAATACATAAGCATGCAAACAAGCAAAGTAAATCGTCATTTGTACACACTTTTGAGGTATTTCAAATTCTCTGTATATCTATATGAGGGTGCTGAAATCCATGGGTTAGGGTTAGTATGGGTTCAAATATCCGTGAAAAATTTTTTCCATAGGTCTGTAGGCGCAATTGACGTGGGTTCAAATGTAATGTAACCGTAAATCTACCACTTCATACTAGAACACACCAAACTGCCAAAGTTACCCCAGCCCACACTCAACATTTGCAAGAAAAATTCAGAAAAACAGAAGATTATACATGCACATAACAACAACAAGAAACCATATTACCCATATTTACATCATTAGTTCAATTTTGATATTCCATGCCATATAGTCCATTTAGAATTAATTCCCATGTTGTGATTTGCGGATTTGCCGTTCAACCTTGCCGTTTATTTTAGTAATTATTATATTAGGCATACAGGCATGTAAACAAAACAATTTGAAATAAATACACATACTAAACTGCTCATTTATGCACCCAAATGCCACCGCTCCCATGCATAAGTTTATTATACATATGACATATGAGCACCAAGAACTTCCCTGCATCTTCCCAATGTGTTGTAAGCGAATTGCGCAACTGCAAGGCTCACGTGAACGAATGAAGGTAAGCTAAGAGGCGCGAGCGCGCAATCGTTTTTGCATGTAATACCGTAATTTATCTCTAATCTCAGTTCAGTAGTTAATCTGTAAGTTCATAGACTGCAGAAGGCAAACCTATATACAATGAAATAAAATAATAATAAGTAACATGAAGGCGGAAATTAGGCATTTTCATTACCTTAATTTCCATTTCCTCACAATGCTGCAATGAGCCGAGGCAGAAAAGTTGCGTTGCTTTTTGCATTCTTTACTCATGTGACATAAAGACACATTGTAAAAAAGGAATATACATTATATCATATCTTTCTAATAATTTGTTTTACGTATTGTTTCAATTATTGAGGTATTCCTAGCATTTTTGTAGCAAAAAAAAGAGATATCACAACCTTTAGTTTAGAGTAACCTTAGGCAATAACATAATTGACCGCACCAAAAGTATTAAATATCTTGGGGTTACAATAGATGACAAATTGAGCTGGAAGGCACATATTGCCGATTTGTCTAAGAAATTATCTCAAACTGTTGGAATATTTTACAGACTCAGGTATATTTTGAACCCTGAAACACTCAAATTGGTCTACTATAGTTTATTTCACTCGCGATTACAGTATGGTATACTTAGCTGGGGGTCGACAAATAAGTCTCTACTGCAGCCAATACAAGTTTTGCAAAATAAAATTTTAAGGTGTATGGCATTTTCAGAAAAAACTCACATAACCAATTTTCAGCTGTATCGACAGTTTAATATCTTACTGCTGTGTGAAATGCATACACTTGAAATAGCCAAGTTCATGCATCGGCATGAAAATGGCCTTGTTCCCATTGCTTTCCAACACTATTTCACTAGGCTACAAGATGTATATAAATACGCCACTAGATCCCCAAAAACTAGGTCATATTTTACCCCTCATGTAGCCACGGAGTTTGAAAAAAGATCTCTAGCATCAAAAGTTAATGAAAAGCAAACTAACGTGCAAGATTCCAAAAGAAATCGTAAAACAAGATATTTTGAACTTGGTCAAGCAGTCTTGGCTCGTGACTATTCTAGCAAAAAGAGAAGATGGGTCAGTGGCACAATTATTAAACATCTTGGACCACTGACATACCTTGTCAAAATTTCTAATGGTGTAACTTGGAAACGCCATATCGATCAGCAGCTGAAAGCTGAAAATGACGAACTTTGTCGAAGATATGAAGAACCGGAATGGTATAATTGGAACCGATCAAGCACATCGACAGGTAACAATCCTGTCCAGTCACAGGGTAATCAAGGAGCACAGCAACGTCCTATACCTAGGCTTACCATAAATCTGAAACAAAAAACCGGGACGGTGCGATTTGGCAAACATTCGGTCGATTGCCAGTCTTTGTAATATTGAAATGTCTACCATGTCATTAAATTCAAAAATCCGTTCAACAGATGCCGATGTTCCGGCAAACAAAATCTACGAGTTTCTGCAAATTCGAAATGCTAATATTTCTGTTAGAAAAAACGTTAAACATCTCTGTCCACTTAATTTCAACCGGCAAAGTAAGCCAAATTGCATTTGAACCATGCTCAAATAAATATCTCTTCATCGGAATTTGTCGAAAAGTGCATCTCTATTCAAAATCTGACTAGCCAACCAAACACATATATCATTTATCAATTTTGAAGACCAAACACTTCAGTCCAGTTTATTTCACCCTTTAAATTTGTTCATATGTTTGGCCTGACAGCATTGTAGGCTTCATCATGCAGCTACGATAGACATTTCTCGTAAAAATCGCAAACATTCTTTAAATAGAGTTACGTCGATTTCGTCAGAGCGTTCCAAGGATTTCAGAAGTACAAGTGATTGCGACGGAATTAACAGACTTTACCCTTTTTTCTTCAAATTTAGCTTCACCTCTGACATCTACGGCAGGGATCGGCAACCTTTTGTCGATCACGGGCCAAAATTAAGGGTTGCGAGTCATTGGCGAGCCGCACATATTTTTAGAAAGCTGAAACCGAGCGGATGATACTTTTTATAATAAAAATCGAGCAGTAATACATCTCTCGAATAGAATATAGATTTATTTCTTCATTGCATCTCAAAAAATTCCATTTGAATATTTTCAGCGCCATTGAACCATTTGCACTTAACATCAACTTTTCTGCGTTTTGTTGCAATTTGTCTAATTATAATTAAATCATAGGCACAATAAACGGGTAATTGTGAATTATATACTTGTAAGGTTATAATATAATTTAGTTTGAAAAATATAATCGTCAAAACGGCTGTTTTGTTACTATAATTCAGTGAAACGTCACGAGCCTGATTATAATACTCTGCGGGCCGGATCCGGCCCGGGGGCCGTAGATTGCCGACCCCTGATCTACGGCATTACTATCATCTTTTTCCAAAATTAAAACAATTTTGCTGAAGTAGGTGAGCTGGCAAAGGACAAATTTCAAGTGAAGTTCGTACGTTGGAACATTTAAGCATAAGAGTAGGACATCCTTCTTGAGAATTTGAATAACTTATCAAGGTTTCAAACATTTCCGTAATCCTTTGCAAAGCAGGTAATAAAGGGAGAAACCGAGTGTTGCCATGCTGTAATAGCCGTTGATATTCAATATCAACAAAATCGCAGAATGGTTTCTGCTCTATTACTCGGACAGTGTGAATGTGAAAATAATCATACATTCTGACAACAACACAAACAGGCAAAGTATCTACGGCATGTTGGAAAGGGCATCGCAGTGCAGTGTTGAACTACATGAGCCGCACAATCTATACCGGTTAAACTTCTTTCAGTTTGAAAAAAAAGCATTATTTGTTTTTCGTCTTTTTACGCCTCCAAAGTTGGTGTTGCAGTTATCCGCACAGAATCCAACAACTTTTCCGAGAACAGAGAGCAAGTATTTAGTAAAAGTTTTGGCGGTTTCCCCGGGTAAAGATTTGAATTCTAATAGTTTTATCTTCACACCAACATCAGGTAAAAAAGAACGAACCACAACTGGAACAAGCTTTAAATTTTCTCTGTTTGATGCATCGAAGGTTACTGAAACGAAACTGGTTTAAAGTAAATCATCATTAGGTTCAGAGGAGAACAGCGGAGCAATGCAATTAAAAATCACCGACTCTCATTTATTTCTGGCTAAACGTGCAAAATCAGCGAATCCGCTTATCAGACAGCGGACATCAGAAATTCTAACTGTGTATATTTACAAGTTAACGCAAATTCAGGCTAAGGAAAAATTAAAATTAATTTAGAGGTGCAGACAAAACTTTGGCCATGAATAGCAGTGTGATAGTAAAACATATCCCGATTGTGACATAACAATAGAGCAATTTCTCTCTCTCTCTGAACTAGCGAAGTGTGTCGCAAAACAGTGGTAAATGGGCTGCCATCGTTAAAAAAAATGTAATAATAATGAATATGAATTTTTTACCCACGACAGTCGTGCTGACAAACCGGGACATTTGAGTCAACCGGCCGGGACGCCGGGACAGCTCGTCAAAACCGGGACTGTCCCGGCTAAACCGGGACGTATGGTAAGCCTACCTATACCCAGGCGCAATCCTCTCAGAAACAGGAGGCCGCCTGACAGATTAAATTTATAGTGATATTGATAATGAACTTTGAATTGAGGGTTAATTGTAAATGTGTTCATTTAGTGACCTTGTTCATTTCTTCCTAAGGGGAGAGGGGTGTTGTGTATTTACGTCATAGCTTGTTGTTTTTAACACAGACTAGATTTGTGATTATGATGTCATAATTGTTTTCTCGTAATTGCTCCTTGCTTTACCTGTCTGCGTGCTTATTATTGATTCTTGTGTTTTGAACTGTCTAGCGTTAAACTGCGATATACTAACGTCTTACTTTGCCGTATAATAAACTGTAATATTTCTGTCTACTGGTGATTTGGTAATACACAAGACATCACAGTGACTGTACATTCGAACCCATGTGTATATCCGCGGGTTCAATCTATATGCGGGGGCTAAAACCCATGGGTTAGGGTTAGTATGGGTTCAAATATCCGTAAAACAAAAAAAATTCCATAGGTGCAATAGTATGCCGGTGCAATTGTCATTGATTCAAATGTAATGGTACCCTCAAAGATACCTATTCTGTACTTAACCAGGTTGCAAGTTTAGAAAGGTTTAGGGGTCGTTCATGTTGTGACAGAGTTCGTCATACAGTTGTATATCATTGATGATTTTCTATGACGTTTGATGTCTTTTTACCTCAAGTTTACATGTCATGACGAATGAAAGAATAAAGTTATTATGATTACTTACGCATTATGATACTACTGTAAAATAATATATACAGGATAGGGATCGTACTACACGGGAATAATAAAAAACATGAACAACACACAACCTGAAGCTTTATGGAGTGCGGCTAAAATCTTGACTGGAATTTGAAACCTGGAAAATCGAATGCGGCCGTACACCGATAACAATAAATAAGTAAAAAACACAATTTTCGTTCCAAATTGCAGTAAATAAATGAACAATATTGCTTTTCATATTCGGACCATCGATTGCAAGAATATGATTGTGATCACTTGGCAAACTGGTGGTGTTTGACTAAAGCAATTATGGAGAGGTTGAGTCGTAGACAATTATACTCTATCTTAAAGTAATCTCAGGTCTATGTGTAAATTTAAAATGTGTTCTATATACTGAAGCTATGGTAACATATAAACATCGCCCCAATAAA